TTAAGTTTAGAATATATATTCTTAAACTTTTTAATGTAAGGCAACTTAGTAAACAATAATTAACTGTTAAATTTAATTACAAAAACTAAATGTAACAGAAAAAGAAGAATATTTAATTACTACAAACAATACACACTTCCTAATGGAATAAGTATATTATAATGGAGAAATAAGATATGGGAACATTATTGAAATTTTCTTATTGACTAATTGATTAATTCTTTTTTTAATACAATAATAATTATTTTTTGGTTTATATCCACAGGAATTTATAATAATAAAAGAAACTAAATATATCTAAATATTGTTCATTCTTAATTTATGATTTATCTCTTCTAAAATGTTAAAATTCAAAAATCAACAAAAAAATAAAGATAAATCATAAATTAAGAATTAACAATATTTAGATATATCTAGTTTCTTTCTTATTATTTTTAATAATCATAAAATGAAATATTTATATGTATTATTATTAAACTAATGTTAAAAATTTGATGTCTCATATTCATTTCGTCTAAATTAGATATTATGTATTCTTTAAGATTTATTTAATAGAGTTTTTGAAAAAATAAGAAGGATTTATTGAAATTAAAATAAATTTGAATCTTTCTTTATAAAGAGTTTTAATAGTTCATTTTCTCTTTATATCATCATTTATAGATCTTAACAATTCATATGATGGGATTAGGAAATGAGGTATAGGATAAGAAAATATATTTGAAAACATCATATCATTACAAGTACTTGTATGTCTTTTTATACCGTGTACATGCTAATAACCTAAGCATTATATTATTTAATAAAGTATAATTTATATAACCCAATCCTATCTAATTATCAATAACATTATAGATGGATTAATTATCAAAAGTAAAAACAAAATTACAATAATAAATCATAATATAAGTTGAGGAGACTGCATTATAACTATCGATTAAGTTATAAGATATTTATGAGGAAGGATGCAATACAAAAGTATTTTTTTTATTTTCTTACCACTATCCTCTGTTAAACTTTTTTCAACTTCCTTTCGAATAGATTTTAAACAATCATATATCAGATTTCTACCCAAGGTATAACCTCTAAAATAGTTATTAGAGGCATCTTCTTTACCAGCAATAAATTATATTTTTTTTTAATGAATTTATTTATTTTTTAACTTCATCAATCATTTAATAATCCAAATCAATAAAAACATCTATTTGATAATAATCATCATCTTATTATGAATATATATACTGTAAATTCATTGTGTCCTTTTATTCTTTTTAATATAATTTCCAAAAGATATCTCCAATCTTTACACTTGCTTCTCCTAAATGAAGATGAATAGATAAATAATTAAAGGCGATCAAGCAGGACTTGCAATAGCTCTTGGCATATCATTAAGCCTCTTAAATATGGGTGGTCTAGCAAAAATGGGAACAGACTATTTTCAAATATTTTATTCTATGATATTTTTAATGGTTATCACATCTTTTTTTGCACATCTCTAATAGTTATAAGTGGAGAGAAAATTGACATGTTCAAAAAGTATAACTAGGTATAACTTAAAAAACTCATAATAAAACAATAAAAAATGAATTGGAAAGGGAAAAAGCATAAAATATTTTTATAAAAAATTCAATATTTCCTACTATACCTTTGGCATAATTAGAAATGCCATTAAAGTGATTAATGCTGTTTATTTGTATGATCAAATCATATATTCTAATTCTCTTCTCTTAAGCGAATATATACTGTTAATCCAAGATTGAATCATTTATAAATTGATTTTGGTTAATCCACGATGAATTTAAGCTTAGAAGGCACTTAATAATAGTGGCTGTTGTTTCAACAAGTACTATTTTAACCAAGAGAACATATGTTCAATAGGATTCATATCAGTATATAAGGTGGAATAAACACATGAGAAATTCTATCCTAAACACCATTCACAACCAAATTTTTGTGAATAATAGTTGCATTATCCAAGATAACAGCAAACCTTTATTATTAGTAATGCTCATTTGCATACTTTAATAAATTTGGCAAAAGTATTTAAATATATAATTTGCCAGTTTCTTCAATTATTTAAAGGCATTAAAACTATTATCTCCAATTGCTGCAATTAAAAACAACAATAGCTTAATTTGAAGTGATTACTTAAATGATCCTTCTAGATGCCATTACTTATGGCTTTATTTTGAAATGTTCCTAATTTAACATTCATCAATATGTTACATTAATATGGAATTATTAAGAATATAATAAATATGATAGTAATACATGATAAGTTGAATTTTAAAAATATATCAATATTAAAGTTAGTATTTAGATTGTTCATAGATTTTAGTGAAATAAATTGAAGAGATTCACACTAAAATATATAATTCCTAATTTAATTTTTGTAAATCTAATACTTATTCTTTAAGAACTCAAATGTTCGTTGATTATATACTATTTTAAGATATAATATTTATAATTAAAAAAAATACTTTATCTTCAGTTTGGAGATTATGGCTGAATAAAACTTAAATTTTAGGATATCTTTAATATTTTTGCATTTGTAGGTAGTTTAGAAAAAATGAGAATATTTTTTAGTAACATTAAATATTTAATTTTCTACAATCTAATCTAATTAATATAAGTATAATTGTACTTAATAAATTATGAAAGGAATTCCATATGAATAAGCAAGTGAAAGAAAAGAGTTTGTTTTCGAATTATATGATACAAATAGATACATATTGAGTAAATATTTTGAATAAATAAGATTAGCGTTTCATCAATTTACATTTGTTTCAAATAGACATTAAATGAGTGAGAATATTAATTGAACATTTATATATTGAATCAATTAATATTTTAAATTTAAATATGATTTTTCTAATCCATTAGATAAAGGATTGTAAATAATCCATAGTTTAGTGCTTAATAAATGATAAGAGAAGTACTGAATTATTATTAGATTCTATATTATTGTTTTGTATATAATTAAGAACACTTAAAACAGTAAAAACTAGATAAGTTTATTTTAAATTTCATAATGAATGTATTAAAGTTGAATAAGCTAAAAATGCCAATATTATGAATAACATATATTCAGGATTTGGAACATTAAATACTTTAAAATTGCAAAAACTCTTTACATAGATATTGGATTAATCATTATATAGATGAAAATAAATAAAGTAATATAAACATATTCAAATTAAACTGATTTCACATTAGCAATAGTGAATGCGGAATATATTAATAAAATAAAGTAAAATTCAATGGGGATTTATAAATTTTCCTATTTTTAATTAATAACAATAAGCATTCATTGATATATGATAAGTAAAACAAGATACTCAAATATTTAGTAAAGAGCTTGGCTAGCAAAATTAAAAATTGCTCAACCTTAAGGAAAAATTTAATATACCAAGATAAATGTATGGAATCTTGGGTTTTTTCAGTGGTAGGAAATGGATTTCTTGATGATGAAGGCAATATTCTAGGAACTTGCATGAATGCGAAAAATTATTTTAGGAAAAATCATCAAAAATATCATTTGGAAAACAATGCTGCAATCAATGGTGTAGCCATGAATGTAAATGAAAACATTATTTGATTGGGAAATAGATAAATCCCAATTAGATATTGGTAATGTTTTATAAGTATGAATATCTGAACAATCAATTGAAGCTTTTTCAATATTAGTTTCTTTAGAAAACAGATTCTAAGATATTCAAATTTATTCTCAGAAATATTCGGATCCCACTAAATTAGAAGTTATTCTTGAAGATATGCTAATAAATTGAAAATAATAATAAATTTTTGTAAGAAAGGAAATCCTTATGTTGAGTATATTTGTGATGCTAATTGTTAATATTGTTAATAAAAAGATAAACAGCTTGCTAATCTATACTTAACAGAATCATAAGTTCCCTGATTAAAATTAAGACCAAAGAATGAATAATAAGTGTTATTATCTAAAATTGTTATTATTTTTAAATATCTTTATGCTTTTTGAACAGCTTGGCTCAAGGGGGTGAAACTATTCAAATGCCAATTTTTGGTGAATATTGTTTAGAGGAATAAATTCCACTATCAATAAATTACCATCTGATTGAATATATTTCTGCTTTAGTCACTATTAAAGAATATCAACAATATGATTCTGTNAGTTGAATAAGCTAAAAATGCCAATATTATGAATAACATATATTCAGGATTTGGAACATTAAATACTTTAAAATTGCAAAAACTCTTTACATAGATATTGGATTAATCATTATATAGATGAAAATAAATAAAGTAATATAAACATATTCAAATTAAACTGATTTCACATTAGCAATAGTGAATGCGGAATATATTAATAAAATAAAGTAAAATTCAATGGGGATTTATAAATTTTCCTATTTTTAATTAATAACAATAAGCATTCATTGATATATGATAAGTAAAACAAGATACTCAAATATTTAGTAAAGAGCTTGGCTAGCAAAATTAAAAATTGCTCAACCTTAAGGAAAAATTTAATATACCAAGATAAATGTATGGAATCTTGGGTTTTTTCAGTGGTAGGAAATGGATTTCTTGATGATGAAGGCAATATTCTAGGAACTTGCATGAATGCGAAAAATTATTTTAGGAAAAATCATCAAAAATATCATTTGGAAAACAATGCTGCAATCAATGGTGTAGCCATGAATGTAAATGAAAACATTATTTGATTGGGAAATAGATAAATCCCAATTAGATATTGGTAATGTTTTATAAGTATGAATATCTGAACAATCAATTGAAGCTTTTTCAATATTAGTTTCTTTAGAAAACAGATTCTAAGATATTCAAATTTATTCTCAGAAATATTCGGATCCCACTAAATTAGAAGTTATTCTTGAAGATATGCTAATAAATTGAAAATAATAATAAATTTTTGTAAGAAAGGAAATCCTTATGTTGAGTATATTTGTGATGCTAATTGTTAATATTGTTAATAAAAAGATAAACAGCTTGCTAATCTATACTTAACAGAATCATAAGTTCCCTGATTAAAATTAAGACCAAAGAATGAATAATAAGTGTTATTATCTAAAATTGTTATTATTTTTAAATATCTTTATGCTTTTTGAACAGCTTGGCTCAAGGGGGTGAAACTATTCAAATGCCAATTTTTGGTGAATATTGTTTAGAGGAATAAATTCCACTATCAATAAATTACCATCTGATTGAATATATTTCTGCTTTAGTCACTATTAAAGAATATCAACAATATGATTCTGTTACTGTACTTAAGAATAATAAATTATTTGATTTAATTTATATATGAATTAATTAATCATTAAATAATATAAAAATGAAAAAAAAATCCAATCTTAATTAAACCTATTAAACTTTCTAATAGATTGATAATTTGAGTCATGGACTTAATTTGTATAAATTCATTAATTAATATTCTATACTTAATTTAGTGTTAAAATGTTAATAATTTTCCTTGAGCTATTAATATATAATAAGTTTTTATAAAATAAAAAAAAATTACCTAGCCTTTAATACAAATTTTGTAATTAGCTTAAAAAATTGAAAAACAAGGAAAGTAACAATATATCAATTCAAAAGGCATAGTTTTTTTGTGGAAAATACTAAATTTAAATTAAAAAATACAAGTATTTTAAAATTTCCTAATTTTGATTAATTATTAATAATGATAATATATATATATAGAGCTCCCCTTAAGGAATAAATATGAATTTTTATTAGAAACTGTATTTCATTTAATCAAATGATCATTAGGATCTTTAAAAATATTTTCTAACTAGCCATAAGCCTTTTCAAAGATTTTCTTATTAAGTTCAATAAAATATTTAATTCTAACTTTGCTTTAATTGCAAATTGAGGGCAACTTTGCTAACAATCAAAATAGTTATAATCTTTACTGCTAATTAATATTCAACCTCTCATTTCCTTTGAATTACCTAAATATTTAGACTATTGATTGAATTTTTTTCTTTATTTCCTTAAATACTATTTCTTCATATTGATAAATACTTCGACTATATTTGCATATGTTAAAGTTAAATTGATTACGATTTATCTAAATAGTGAAAAGCCACTGGTTTTACATTTAATTTTAAGTATTATTTCTTATTTTGCATAACTTTCAAAGTATTTGATTTTAGTTTGAGAATAAGTTTATATAATTTTTCTATTTTTTATATTTCAAATACCCCTTCTTCTTATTGTACATTCTTGTGCTTTGTTTTTGTACACCTAAAATAATTTAAATATTTTTAATATTATTTTAACTTGGTTAAATTTATACCTCCTAAAATAGACGTTCTTCTTAGTTGACTAACTCTATAAGAAACCTTCTAAATTCTAAATGTAATATATAAATATTAAAAATCAAAAATAGATATTTGAAATTAATATAAGCATAATAATCAGTATCCATAATTGTTTCTCACATTATAAAAAAATAGCTTAAATATACTCATATTTTCAAAGTTAATTTGATTCATATATATATATATATATATATAAAGATAATACCTTAAATTCCAAGTATATTGATACTGAGGTTAAATAATAATGTCTATTATGTTAATTAAAAATAACGATCATTTTAATAAGTATATAAATTACTTTTTTAGATAAAAATAATGTATATTATTAATGAAGGGGTTAAAGCTTATTATTTAATATATAAATAATAAGCTATAGAAAATAAAAATGATAACTGCAATTGATGCTACTGAGTATATGAACAGAGGTGTATCATCTAGCCATATAAATAGGAATTAAATTTGATCAACAAGGAAAAAATGAAAAAGCACTCCTAAATTACAACACAGCCATCAAATTGAATCCAAAAAATACTGCTATGTATTATAACAGAGGTATATCAAATAGTCAAATAATTAGTTATTCTATTAGGTGAGCAAGGAGAAAAGGAAAAAGCACTCCAAGACTACAATATGGCCATCAAATTGAATCCAAATTATGCTTAAACATACTCTAACAGAGGTATATCAACTAGTCATATATTTAGGAATTCTATTTAAATAAAAAGGAGATCATAAAAACGCACTTGAAGACTACAACATGGCCATCAAATTAAATCTAAATGATGCGGATCCGTATTCTAACAGAGGTATAATCTAGTCAGATATTTAGGAATTCTATTTCATCAACAAGGAGAAAATGAAAAAGCACTCTAAGACTACGACATGGCCATCAGATTGAATCCAAATCATGCTGATACTTATTATAATAGAGGTCTATCATCTAGTCATATAATTAGGAATTCTATTTAATCTACAAGGGGAACATGAAAAAGCACTCCAAGACTACAATAAAGGTCTTCAATTAGAACCAGATAATCCACTTTTACTTAAAAACTTAGGAAGTCTCTTTTTTAAATAAAAATAATTTGATTAAGCAAATATTTATTTCACAAAAACACAAAAATCATTAGATTAGATTACTAATCAACAACTATCGAAATGGAGTTTATCTTATTTAGATCTTATAAATATTCAATAAGAACTAAACCTACTTATAATGATACAAATTTAGGTATAAATAACAGATATTTAGCTCAATTATTTATCTAAAGAAATATAAATATAGAAGACTATTTAATTAAAGGAATAAGCTTAGATACTTGTAAATGAATTAACACAACAAATAAAGCCATTAGATACTTATTTAAATCAAAATCTATAAACAGTTTACTTTTAGATTTTAGAAAAATTTGAGGAACGATTTAATGACTTTTAAAACCAAATAAATACGCTTGTCAATTCATTTTTAGAATAAGATAAATTTAAAGTCTCTGAATCTCTAAAACAACTAAATAAAAAAGAAAATAAAAATTAATAGATGTATTATAATGCTTTAGTCTGGTGATTGTATAATTACCTATCTGCAATGTAATAGATTCCACTAACCTATTTTAAATTAATAAAAATGGCATAATCGAAGGTAAGTCTGAATATACTCTAAATGTAGTTCAAAAGATGTTAATTACAGGATCATAGATCTTTGGACGATTACCTATTGTTGGAAATGCTTTTACCATAATTATGCTGCTCTCGATTTTGGATTTGAAAATCATAAAGAGCATAAATTTACTAGAAGATTAAGAAAACTAAATAATATTTTAAAATGTAGTTCCATAGTACCTGGCCAATTATAAATAGAGATATAAATTGCAAGCTTAGAATTAAGTAAAGATTAATAAGCTAATTTGATTTATAAACCAAAATCAAGATTTATAAAGTTTGCAGATTAATTGTTGCAAGAAGAAGATAAAGAATTCAGAGATAATATTTACTTGGCAGCAGGTTCTGAAGATGCATTGATTATTTTAAATTATTTGGAAGCAAATAGTGATATGATAATAAATGAAATATTTAGCAAAAAAGTACTTTTGAGATAGATAATAATCTAAGCAATCAAAGAATAATATTAGTTATCTGAAAATAAACATATATAATAAAAAGGGAATGAAAATGAAAATAAAGTTAAAGTAGCAGATAAAAGCTCATTATGTATTGTTTAATGAACAATATAAGTATAGAATAAATTATGTATCAAAATTTAAATTTGTTTATAAATATAAATGAATACTTACCTCCCTTTTTTTGGATATTTGAAGATCAAATCTTTAAATATAGAAGTATCATTCTTCTTAATTAATATAAAAAGATAATCTTTTTCTTAATTTGAAAGTTCTTGTAAATATATAACAACAATATTATAGATAAATTCTCTTTTTAATCTTTTAGTAGAAATTTATTATTTAAGATCCCTTTTTTCATCAACTGTAACATCAAAGGAGTTAAATTCATATAAATTTTTTGAAAAAATTCTTTAGACTCAATTATGTTATTTATGAAAATAATAGAAAAAAGCAAAATGAATCATCAATCTTGAAGATAATAAATGTTCAAGATTAATTCAGAAGTTTGAGATTTAATGAAAATAATTATTTTATTTTAACAAGATCTTTAATAAGATTTTTTGTGCTTTTTCAAAGAAATATTGGTTAGCTTAAAATGTATTATGCTGCCATCTAATTGTAAATTTGGTAAAAATGAATTTTCTAATGTGAAATTATGAGATTAGTACAGTATAAGTGTATACTAGAAAAATTGATAAGAGTGAGGAATTTATATAAATTTTTATGTTTATTTGAATTCTATTAATGTAAATGTTTTTCAATCAGTAATTTTATTAGGATTATAAAATTAAAAAGTGATAAATTTTTTAATAAATATGGGATGATGCATATTTGTGTATTTTTATTTAAAGTCTATTTAGTTATTTATTATTGATAATACTCATTCGTTCCAATTTATCGCTTATAGGGTTTGGGGTTGGGTTTGGGTTTGGGTTTGGG